TTGCACTACCTCCTCTCTCCACTGTTGAATATCAGAGCTAAATTTGATTCTATTAGAAGTCTAGTTACCAACTGCTGAGCTGAATTCACTTTGGGCCAATGGTGCACTAGCACTGGGGCTCCCCTACTACTATGAGCTGAAATCACTGAGGCTGTGTTAGCTAGTGGGGGAGCCTGAAGCTATATTGCTAAGCGGCTGGTGGAGCAGCTAGCAGAGAGGAGCCTTGTGGGAGTGGCCCAAGGGACGGCTGAAGTGGAGCAGAGCTGAGCAACTCACAGGTCGGTGAGCAGAGTGGAGCAGCTGCCAGAGCAGTTCGTGGGACGGCGGGAGCAGCTCACGGGGGCAGCTGGTGGAGTGGAGCGGCTCGTGGTGAAGGCTGCGGCGGAACCCCGTCGGCCTTGGATCATGTAAGGTGCCCCTTAACACCCTGCGTCCCCGTCCCCCCCCCGAACTCTGGGGCTGCACTGACCAGGGACAGAGACTTTGGGGGGTTGTTGGACTTTTGGGACTTTGGTGAACCTTGGATTGCTGGTTTCAAGAACCCAAGGGAAAGGACACAGCCCAACTTGCTGGGGTGGGTTTTTTGCTCGTGGTTTGTGTTATGGATACTGTTTGTGGTGTTTTTTCCAATTTAATGCTGATGTCATTTACCTCATGTTATTAAACATCTTCTGTTACACTCAGACTCCATGCTTGCGAGAGGGGAAGTATTGCCTTTTAGGGGCGCCCAGGGGGTGGTATGTAATTGTCCCAGGTCACTGGGTGGGGGCTCGAGCCGGTTTTGCATTGTGTTATTGAAACGGAACCCCTAGATACAGAACCCGGCCCTTGTTGCTGCCAACTTAGATGGGCAGAAGGGTTACACCTGTAAGCACCTAAACTCACTTGGCACCTAAGTTTCTATCTCTGGGCACGTGTAGTGCAGCCCCGCTTTAGATGACCGGATGCCTAAGCCCCAGAGTGATCCACAAACTGGGAAAACCACTCTAGGCATTCATCCATCTAACTTGTGTGCTGGGCCTGATCAAGTGGGCATGCGCAAGCGATTGCTGGATCAGATCCCGTTAAAAATCCAGCTCCTAAAGGAGGCGAGGGAGATGGCAATGGCCAGTTTTTAACTTTTTTTTTTTAACACTCACCTGGGTTGTGGGAGACCCAGCTTCAATTCCCCACTCTGCCTGAAGGGGACAGAGGTCTCCCAGCACTGAGGAGAGAGCTCTAACCTAGGGGTCGGCAACATTTGGCACACGGCTCACCAGGGTAAGCACCTTGGTGGGCCGGGCCAGTTTATTTACCTGCTGACGCGGCAGGTTCGGCTGATCGCAGCCCCCACTGGCCGCGGTTCACCGTCCTGGGCCAATGGGGGCGGCGGGAAGCCACAGCTAGCACATCCCTCGCCCGTGTCGCTTCTCGCAGCCCCCATTGGCCCAGGACAGTGAACTGCGGTGATCGGCCGAACCTGCCATGTCAGCAGGTAAATAAACTGGCCTGGCCCACCAGGGTGCTTACCCTGGTGAGCCGCGTGCCAAACGTTGCCGACCGCTGCTCTAACCACTACGCTAAAAGTATAACATGGACACAACCACCTCTTCCTCTGACTATTTTGTGTTGAGTGAAGCAGCTGCCTAACTCATTCTCACAAGAAATGATTTAGGTGCCTAAGCCACCTAATTCAAGGAGAGGGGTTTCCTGGCTGTAAATCACTACTAGAGATAGGCACCACCTTGCAGCCAGGAGCTAGGTGCCTCACTCTGTGAGAGGGTGGGGTTTAGAACACACCCCTTGCCTTGGCATCTCCCATTAGCTAGTTTAGGCAGCTCCCCACCCACTATGCTGGCTTTTGTGGATTGTATTCCAAGGTGTACAGGGAGCCTTGGTGCATAATTCACGCTTGTAGATCACAGTGTTATTCCTGTGATATTCTTTTTAGGTGCCTAAAAGTTAGGTGTTGCAATGTTCAGGTTAATCAGTTCAACTGCTTTTGTGACACAACCAAAAGCTGGGTCCGGTTTGAAGACTATTTAGGGTTTTACATCAAATCCACATGAACTGCAATAGTTTTAGCTGAGATTTTCATTATTTTTCAATTTGTACTCTGATCCTTAAAACAAAACTTTGGGGACAGTGTGGTTGGACCCCATGTGAACTGACTCGAAAGAAAGCATTTGCATGAAGGACCCTTGCACCAGGCAGCCAGTTTTGCCCAGCTCCATTTATTTTGCTCTGGGCAAACCATTTCCTCCCCTGAACTGAGGCTTTTATGTCTGTTTTATAATCCTGACAACACAAATGCCTTCAGCCCATCTAGCAAAGGTGAGAGGAGCTGAGGAGGATAGAGGCCGTGATCCTGATCAGCATTGTCAAGTCTCTGGAGTTCCTAGATATTTGGTATTTTTCTGAAAGACCCAGATCCTGGATCATAGGTACTGGAACTAGGGGTGCTGCCGCACCCCCTGGCTTGAAGTAGTTTCCATCGTATACAGGGTTTACAGTTTGGTTCAATGGCTTTTCACACCCCCACTATACAAATCATTCCAGCACCTCTCCCTGGAGTCCAGGGCCGGTGCTACCATTAAGGCAAACTAGGCGGTTGCCTAGGGCGCCAAGATTTGGGGGCACCAGAAAGCGGTGCCCCCAATTTTTTTTTACAGCATTCCTGGGCTGGGCTGCTGGCAGTGCGCTGACACGTGCGACTCAGACTCCCTCTCCCAGCGCAGCAGCCGCTCCACTTCTCCCGCCTCCCAGGTTTGCGGTGCCAATTAGCTGTTTGGCGCCGCAAGCCTGGGAAGGGAGGAGAATTAGAGTCATGGCGGCGTGCTCGGGGAGGAGGCGGAGCAGAGGTGAGCTGGGGTGGGGAGCTGCCACTTGCTCCCCGGGGCGCAGCTGCCACGAGGGGGGGTGCCTCAGGGCAGAGGGGGGATGTGCCGCGGGAGGGGCACCTCAGGGCGGAGGGGGGACGGGGAGCTGCCACAAGGCTGCGGGGGGGCACAAGGTGGGCACGAAACTTCCTTACACCGGCCCTCCTGCTGGAGTCATGTTATTAGGTAAGATTGTGAGCTTGAGAGAGAGAGAGAGAGAGAGTGTGTTGGGGAAGGGGAAGGAGTAAGTTTTTAACTCTCATGGTTGCAGAGAAAAGCTGGAAGATGTGAACCCTGAAAGCTCAAAACCAGGAGGCAAATGAAAAGACCCCAGAAAGTGTTGCTGGTTTTTTTTTAATCTCATTCTTATGCCAATCATTTTGAGCCTCATTCATGATTTGTGAGCAGGGGGCTGAGTAGCCCCATGGGGATCAATAAAACTAGTCACTGGAGTCAAGCTAAGCACGGGAGTTTGTTTTCAAGCGTCCGGGATCACACAGCCCTCAAAGTCACACAGCTCAGCCCGCCCCTGCCCTCAACAGCTCTGCCTCCTCCCTCCCGGACCCGGAGGCGCCTCCAGAGCCAGGAGACGTGAAAGCAGAGCTCCTTCGTTCGGCTGCTGCAGCTTCCCTGGGCGAGGGACGTCTCTTGCCGGTAAGGGTGTCTGCAGAGAGCAGAGCGAGGGGGAATCTGGGCAGGCTGAGATGCAGGGCACCCTGAGCAGCTGCTACTCCTTGGGGCAGGAGAGAGAGATCCGGGTTGCAGCCAGTTCCTGTTGGCCGAGCATAGTACATTGGGGAGCCTGACCCTGAGCTGCTAAACTGAAAACAAGCTGCAAGTCATTTAGAACAGTGATTTTGTTAATTGGTGCTTTAATCCTCTCCCCTCCCTTTCCTGTCCCAGCAGCCGTTTCCTCTCCTTTCTGTGTGCATGTGTAATCTCCTTCCCTGCCCACCGGCTTTGATTCAGGACTCGGGCTCCCTGAAAACATAACAGCAAACACAGCTTCTTGTGACGCCCTAGGGATTATTGTGCCCCTCTGCCCCACCCACATATGCGGGATGGGGAACCTGTTTTTCCTGGCAGATGGCCGTGTAAGCAGCGCTGCTCCTCCTTCCGTGTAGTTATGTAGTTTTCAACGAGTTGCCCAGTTTGCTTAAAGGGGCAATGAGTGTTCCCTTAAACTAGGGACATGAAAAAAAAATCTTGCTCCTTCTTTTGACGGGCGGAACGGACACGTGGAGGGGAATGAGGTAGGGGAGGAGGAACTCACTGTTGTTTGTTTGTATACAGAGGCTACTTCCCATATCCCATATCAAAATAATTTAAAGTCTTTATGTTCATGAAAGAACATAAGAACGGCCATACTGGGTCAGACCAAAGGTCCATCTAACCCAGTATCCTGTCTTCAGACAGTGGCCAATGCCAGGTGCTTCAGAGGGAATGAACAGAACAGGTAATCATCAAGTGATCCATCCCTGGTCACCTATTCCCAGCTTCTGGCAAGAGAACCCCTCCCCTTGCCCTCCTAGCTGATAGCCTGTTCTCCATGAATTTATCTAGTTCTTTTTTGAGCCCCATTATAGTCTTGGCCTTCACAACATCCTCTGGCAAAAGAGTTCCAGAGGTTAACCCTGCTTTGTGTGAAGAAATACTTTATTTTGTTTGTTTTAAACCTACTGCCTATTAATTTCATTTGGTGACCCCTAATTCTGTTTTATGAGGAGTAAATAACACTTCTTTATTTACTTTCTCTACACCAGTCATGATTTTATAGCCCTCTATCATATCCCCCCCTTAGTCATCCCTTTTCCAAGCTGAAAAGTCCCAGTCTTGTTACTCTCCTCATATGGAAGCTGTTTCATACCCCTAATCATTTTTGGTGCCCCTTTCTGAACCTTTTCCAATTCCAATATATCTTTTTTGAGATGGGGTGACCACATGTGCACGTAGTATTCAAGGTGTGGGCATGCCATGGATTTATATAGAGGCAATATGATATTTTCTGTCTTATTAGCTATCCCTTTCTTAATGATTCCCAACATTTTGTTTGCTTTTTTGACTGCACATTGAGTGGATGATTTCAGAGAACTATCCACAATGACTCCAAGATGGCTTTCTTGAGTGGGAACAGCTAATGTAGACTCCATCATTTTATATGTATAGTTGGGATTATGCTTTCCAATGTACATTACTTTGCATTTATCTGCTATTTTGTTGCCCAGTCATCTGCTTTTGTGAGTTTCCTATGTAACTCTTCGCAGCCTGCTTTGGACTTAACTATCTGGAGTAGTTTTGTATCATCTGCAATTTTTGCAATCTCACTGTTTGTTTATCCCTTTTTCCAGTTCACTCATGAATATGTTGAATAGGACTGGTCTCAGTACAGATCCCTTGAGGACCCCACTATTTACCTCTCTCCATTCTCAAAATGATCATTTATTCCTACCCTTTGTTTTCTATCTTTTAACCAGTTACTGATCCATAAGAGGACCTTCCTGCTTATCCCTTAACAGCTTACTTTGCTTAAGAGCCTTTGGTGAGGGACCTTGTCCAGGGCCATCCCAAGGCAAATCAGCCTGTATGGGGCCCCCCTTAACATTTTTTTTACAGGTGAAATCTGGTTACAGGGAACTTCAAGAGCAGCTGCTGGCCACAGGTTAAATATTGATAGCGCCCAGCTGCATAATTATAATGTTATGTTATATTGTAGTTCTTTTTTATAATTATAATAAAGTTCATATAATTAAAAAAACATCACCGATCATGATCAGTGTCGCGCCACTTACATTCTGAAATCCACCTTCATGGACTTCCTTGCAGCAAACTTACTTCCCAGGTGCATATGGTCTCACTTCCCTCTTTGGATTTTTTAAAAATGTAATTACACATTTGCAACACTGAGAGCCCATGTCTCGGGAACTGGGTGGCTCTTGGAGGTCCTATATGTGCCCTGGTGCTGGGGGACCCCAGGACCCTCCAGCATGGAGGAGGGGCTCTAAGATCTGTTTTCTCTGGGGCTGGGAGGGGGAGAGGAGATGGAAAAGCAGATGGATGGAGGACCCCAGTTCTGAGGGCTGATGGAGAAAGCAGAGTTGTGGGATCCCAGGTTCTGGTATTGCAGGGAGGGGGACCCCAAGGCTGGAGAGCTGAAAGGCAAGGAGGACCCTGAGGCAGGAGGGTGGCCCTAGCCTGGAGGTGGCATTGGAGGACCCCACCCAGCGCTGGGAGAGGGGAAAAAAGAGCAGTGGAAGGGGGAGGTGTAGGGCTCTGGGGGGACACCAGTGCTGAGCGATGGGCGAGGGAGACTACTGGCTGGCACGCACCTGTGCTGGGGGCCCCCTGTGCTGGTGGAGGGTCCTGCCGGAAAAGGGAAGGGTCCGTCTGAGGCGGAAGGGCAGGGGCAGGGTCAGCCTGCTCTGGCACTAGTGATGGGGGGGGGCACTAGGACCCTGCGGCAGCAGGCGACGCCGGGAGCCGGCAGAGCGGTCTGGGGCCAGGTTACTTGCTGCTGCAGAGACTGAGACTGAGCCCGGGGGGGCTGTGGGCAAGAAAAATAAATAAACGCCCGGGCCAGTGAGTGCGGGGCGTGGGCCTGGCCCCTGCTGCCGGCGCCAGGCCCCCCACTAGGTCCCTCGGCCACCCTGCTCCCCCCTCCAGAGCTCGGGGCCCGTGGCGGTTGCCCCGGTCCCTCCTATGGACAGGATGGCTCTGACCTTGTCAAAGGCTTTCTGAAAATCTAAGAAACTATATCCACTGGCTCACCCTTGTCAACATGTTTGTTGACCCCCTCAAAGAATTGTAGTAGATTGGTGAGGAATGATGTCCCTTTGCAAAAACCATGTTGAATCTTCCCCAACAAATCATGTTCATCGATGTGTCTGACAATTCTGTTCTTTACTGTAGTTTCAACCAGTTTGCCCAGTGCTGAAGTTAGGCTAACCGGCCTGTAATTGCTGGGATTGCCTCTGGAGTCTTTTTTTAAAAATTGGCGTCACATTAGCTATCCTCCAGTCTTAAGGTATAAGACTTAAGTATCCTGAGATCTGTATCCTTCTAATTACTAGACAGATACAGCACAGGCAGTAACATTACAAGCTTCTTCTGTGCTGTCCTGCCCATGGGACCTGGAGGTCATTCAGTCTCCATGATCTATTCAAATCTTAGCCAGACTACTGAGAGTACCAGCAGCACTGCTAGATTTGATGGTACGTTTTGTGTTGTGGATTCATCTCCATTTAAAAAGTTACTGAAACCACTATTTGCTTGACAAAACTGCCAGTGGGGTTGTGGTGGATATTCAGCTGAATATGAGCTCCCTGTATGATTCCAATCGCCAAAAGGTCTAATGCAATCCTTGAACACATAAACGGGAATCTCGAATAACAGTTGAGCGGTTATTTTCCTGCTATATTTGATGCTGGCACAACCATTGCTAGAATACTGTGTCTAATTCTGATGTCCACAATTCAAGAAGATCTTGATAAATTGGAGAGGGTTCAGAGAAGAGCCATGAAAATGATTAAAGGATTAGAAAACCTGCCTTGTAATGATAGACACGCTGAGCTCAGTCTATTTACCTTAACAAAGAAAAAGTTAAGGTGTGACTTGATTACAGTCTGTAAGGACCTACATGGGAAACAAATATTTAATAATGGGCTCTTTAATCTAGAAGAGAAAGGTATAACAATGGCTGGAAGCTAAACCTAGAGAAATTCAGAATGGAAACAAGGCATACATTTTAAACAATGAGAGTAATTAACCATTGGAACAACTTACCAAGAGTCGTGGTGGATTCTCCATCACTGACCATTTTAAAATCAACACTGGATGTTTTTTGAAAAGACACGTTCTAGGAATTATTTTAAGGAAGTTTTGTGGCTTGTGTTATACAGGAGGTCAGATTAGATGATCACAGTGGTCCCTTCTGGCCTTGGAATCTATGTAACCATTTTTACTCTATTGATCCTCTAGGAGAGCTGAGCTGGAACATGGTTATGTAAGGGGGGCTGTGTCTCTTAATAGCAATCCCCCAAATCACCTGTTTCCAGTGTTTGCACCGATCCTCTTTGTTGCCATTTTTATGTCCTTGGGTATCTTGGTTGAAAAAGTAGGGAAGAGGATTCCAATATGTATGTCCAGGGCTGATGTAGACTTCCTGTATGACTGTGGACAAGTCCCTTATGCCTTCTCTGCCTCCGTTCCCCCTCTGTAAAATGGGGATAATAGCAGTTTCCTACCTTATGGGTATGTAATGAAAATACATTAAAGGTTGAGAGCCACTCAGATATTATGATGATAGGGGCAATATAAATACTCAGAGAGATTCTTGTGTGCTGTATTCACCACCCTTTTTCATTTGAAAAGTGTAGCAATGTTTTTAATTGGATGCCAAGTATGTTGGGAAGTAAGTAACTTTGCATCAAGTATGTAATATAAACTTTAAAAAAAATTACCTACATTTGCTACTTGTACAAAAGGCTCTTAAAAGTTGTTGAAAACTTCACTTTGACTAAAAGAAGCCTTTCCTTATTTTTCCCCACAGATATGCATTCTTCTTAAAATGAGATTATTTTGAAGTTAAACACCAAGAAGTTCATCATTGTTTCTGACTCAAGAAGAAGGCAACTAAGTAAAAATGTCCATCAGCATAACTTGGTGGTCTACTTGCACATTCCTAATCATGTGTTACATGATACCTGGGCCATCCCTCAGTCAAGATTGTTCTCTAGAGAAGATGGAAAATGTTGTAATTGATATGATGCTATCTCTCTCAAAAGGCATCAGAGGGACTGAGCCAATATATACACCAACTCAGGAAACTTGTATTAATGCTTGCTGCTTAGAAAAAAACATATCAGGTAAACTTATACTCCCTTGATTTCTGTTCTTCTCTATCATTGCTTATGACATGCTTGTAATTGGCTGGGATAGGATGAGCTGGTGTCAGCCCTCAAAGAGGAAGAACCAGGACATTCTGCATTTCCTTTCTTCTTTCAGCACTGAATGTGAATATTTCTCTCCTTTCATACCAAGATTAACAAGATACTGTGAATATTGGTCTGTTTTGCTTAACCTATTAGCCAATGAAATGAGACCTTAGTGATTAAGTCCTAGTAATGTGTATTAGTCTGAGCAATTATTGCATATATCTTGAATGTTAGGCATGCCCAATGGTTTTAAGCCCTTCCCCCTCGCCCTCACCATCCACTCCAAGACGTAGAAGCCATAACTTTGTGAGTCCAGCAGACAGAATAAAAAGAGACAATGGATTGTTTTATGTTACATTTGAGTAGCTACAAATAAAATGCTTACACTCTTCTGGGAACTTTGCTTTCCATCAAGACCTTACAAGCAGAATGAACTGTAGCTGCAGATAGCAGCATCACAATGTTAACAGTGAATCACACAGTAGCAACAGTCAGGAGGCTGTGGGGATGGTGAAATCTTCTCTCAGTCATTCAAAGAAATTAGGGGTTTTTCAAATTTATCGGATGCCTTTGAGCCAAAGGCTCATATGAAAAATGATGTCCCAAGATCTGATATGAGGGCAACAGCACCTTGGTAGGAATCTCAGCAGGTGGGTGAGGGGAGGCTTATCCTACTATTTCTGTTAGACCTTGTTGGCACGTAGAAGGAGGGGCCACATCTTGCAGATTGGCTTTTGGCTTGTAGGTATCTAGTGATATATATTTATTAATCCCCATAACTATATTATTTCCTGCAGAATGTGATATATTCATTCTTTTCCCTTCATACTGATCTGGAGGATTTTAGTCAAGCTAAGCAGAGCTTATTGCTATAAAAGAGGCAGATACAACACTTCTTACTGCTAAAGTATATAATATATTATCCTTTTTTAGGAGACAGGCAATGTAATTTGATGATTTTTGATGCTCGAAGGATAAGCCAGCATCCAAACTGCTACCTGTTTTACTGCCCTAGTAAGGAAGCTTGTCCAATGAAACCAGCAAAAGGACTCGTCAGCTACAGGATAAATAGAGGTAAACAATACTAAAATCAACTGATCATTGACTTTGTTTATACTCATGTGTCTTACAGATGTGTGTTTGCATTAGAGTTGGTCATCAATGTTTGATTTATCAGCAAAAAATTTAAAACGGAAAATGATCAGCTGAAAATTGACAATTTCGTTTTGGAAATGCTACCATAGTGCCTCATGGGAGTTATAGTTTTGTGTGCCTTATACCCCCTTTTTTCTTTATGGACCTGGCTTCTCATGTGGACTGCATCTTCAATGATGCATCCTGATTGTCCCCCCCACCCACCCCCGTTAGACTTCAAAATCTTTTATATTCTTTCCCTCTTTAAAAAAACAAAACAAGCCCACCCTGTCATACCATGACAATGTGAGACATAATTAATATTAATGTGTCAAGAAATTATATCTCCTCTCTAATCTTTCATATGTATGCTTTCTGTTTAGACTGGAAGCTCTTTAGACCAGGGATTTATTCCTAAATAATACAGTTTGTGTGTGCTTAAAAAGCTTCTTCCATTTTGACACATTCTGTGTGTTTTGGAGAAATTCCCTATGAGTATATTGAATATTACTGGAAGCAGTAGAAATTTAGCACCCTTGTAGTACTTTACATGTTTGAAGGGACATATTGTGGTGGCTGAGGGGCATATAAATACCCAGTTATAGAAAGCACTATACAAATATTAATCTTCATAACATCTCTGCAAGGTTAGTAAGTAAACAAAAGTAGTAATAGTCCTCTTTTTTCAGGTAGAGAAACTGAAGCAGAGCTGCAAAGTGACTTACCCAAGGCCAAACTGCATGTCAGTAGCAAGGTTTAGAGAAGACTTAGAACTCAGAAATTTCTTGTCATCTCTATGCACTTTTTGGTGCTAATACATCAGCTATACTAAGGTCAGCTATTAAGATGTAGCAAGCTTACCAAAATATATTTTGCAGTGTAGTGGTAGCCCTGTCAGTTCCAGCATATTAGAGAGACAAGGTGGTTGAGGTAATGAAGAAGAGCTCTGTGTAGCTCGAAAGCTTGGTTCTTTCACTGACAGAATTTGGTCCATTAAAAGATACCTCACGCACCTTGTCTCTCAAAATATACTTCTATGCTGGCACCTTATCTGACTGAACTCTTCAAAGAACAAATTGACAATTAGACTGTCCTCTCGCAAGGGAGTTTATGTGGTGGTTTCAGTATGGCTCACTTTGCAGAGAACACAAGTATTTTTTTAATATACTGGAGTTTTTCCTATCTCTCAGATATTTCCCAAAGGCTGAGCTTACTGAAGAGGTAACTTTCTCCTGGGAAGGAATTGGTTGGTGAGGAAAAGCATGCTGTCTAGCAGGGTCATCCGCATAACTTGTTCAGAAACTGTTAGGGTGCATTTGTTGTGATAACACCAGGAAACCAGGGCACGGGAAGGAACAAATGGCTTAAACTCCTAGGGTGCAAAAACAGAAGAGTCAAAGTAATTAATTTATTATCTAACTTTTATCACACTTCTCCCACTCTTTTCTCCCCCAGGAGTATGTAGAGGATTGAAAGAGGGAAGAAAACATGTGACTGTGCTGGGCTCTTGATCTGCCAAAGTACAATTGCTGAGTTATACTCATTGTTTTCAATTGTGCTGTTTTTCTGGCTCCTGTTCATATTGAATTATGGAAATGATGTGTGTGAGCTCGTTTACCTTAAGCCTACATTGCTGATAAGCTTTTCAAAGGTAGTTACCAAGAAGCCTAGCCCACTTCTTGTGACAAACCTTTTAAGTTTGTTTTTTCAGATAGAAATGTGCACAAGGTTACAGTTAAGTTTCAGAGGGGTAGCCGTGTTAGTCTGGATCTGTAAAAAGCAACAGAGAGTCCTGTGGCACCTTTAAGACTAACAGATGTATTGGAGCATAAGCTTTCGTGGGTGAATGCCCACGAAATGGATCTGACAAAGTAAATGCATTCGACGAAGTGGGCATTTACCCACGAAAGCTTATGCTCCAATACATCTGTTAGTCTTAAAGGTGCCACAAGGTTAGTTATTAGTGATAAAGAAAAATACTCACATATTGGAGCAGTTTTATTCAGTGCAAACTTGATTTTTCCAGCTCAACCACCACAGAACCAATTCGTGATTCAGGAGATGTTTTATCTTCTGTTTCCAGCCACAGAAGCTATTGCTGAAAAACTACTTGGAGTTTCTGCTCTGCCTCTCAGACTCTCATTTGGAACATAGACAACATTCTCCATACAAATAACCAACCGTGATATTGGTGGATATCTACTGAGAATACCCATAGAATCCTATTAGACATTTCCTTTAAGGGTGGATGGCCTCTAGGAGATGACCTCCAAGGTAGTTTAGCATATGGACTATTTGAGAATGGTCCTGTAGAATACTCTTCTTTTATATTTTTTAAATAGTGGTTTGTGTACTGCTTTGTCAGTCTTGCTATTGAAGGAAGACAATCTATTCTATTATAATACCACTAGTGTGCCTAGCACTTGACAATTTCTTAAGGTCCCTGTGGTTGTGAGCTTACAATCTAAAATGAAAATGAGGAAATAAAGCTGACATTTTTTTTAACCTCAAAAATATAGGGTGTGATTAGTCAGACTCTGGCTGCAATAACTGTCTGCTTTCTGATAGTACATCAGTGAGTGTTCAGGTACATCTGTTGGCTTTGTGGAAGAAGGTGAGAAGATTCATGTAGGGTGATGAGATCCTTCTTTGTACCCAACCAAACTGTTTCCCACAGCATAAATTACACACACACTGCAGTTTTCTGACTGTCATTTGAGGGAGTGAATTTGGTAATCTGCAGGTTGCGCAACCCAATTTACATGAATACTGCATCATTGCTCTACTTTGGGTGCTTGTCTAAAAGCATGGCTTCTACAAGTGGGGTTCAGTCCCACACTCCTTTGTTTAGAATGAGAAAGGAATGGTGGTTTAGCTGACCACATCTGCTGTATTGTTGAGCAAATTCCTTGTCTTAGAGGTAATGCACTAGGAACTGAGGAAACTGTTGGTATTTTGACCATCTAGATTTTGACCTTTGAGTTTGTGGTGCACATTAAATAATAAAATATGAAATCATGTAGATTTCCCTTTCTAACTACTGAGTAAAGCCTGCAGAAAAATCAATAATTTGTTCTTGGAAGACTCTATTTGGGTTTTTTTTGCTGTCTGTTGGATAGATTGTGAAAAGGCCATGTGGTAACAAACTGGTATATAACAACAAGGATCTTTCTTTCCCATTCTGATTATGGTTTTAAATGGAAGTTTCTTTAAAAAGTTATTGCATTCCAGTTTACAACATAACTGTTTTTTTGTTCTATGCTGCTTAATGTCCCTTCTAGAAACCTAAAATATATTTCCCAACTTGTAGGACAGCAGCTGCGGTAGGTGGTCTTTCCATTTCAATTAACTGAATTAACTGTGAAGATTTTTTACTTCCTCATGACCCAATATAATGGAAGTTAGCACAGCACCCTGGAAAAAGGGGCTTCCAGTTGAGACAGAAGAAACCATGGATGTGTTTTGTATATTTTAAATCCACTACTTTTTTTTTCAAAAGTCCTATATGTATCTAATTATATCAATTTTTAAGGCAGATGAAATCTGAGTGTAAGCTACTTAACAGTGTACTCTCCTTCTAAATTCTCCATATATTCAGTTTCTAGTCTTCTTCCTGTCTGTTCTCTTGCAAAGACCTGTTGCTAAGGAAGGGGGAATAGTACACAGAGTTAGTGCACTAGCCTCAGGTCAAATCCTGACTTACGCCTCAGGTGATCTCAGTCTGGTACCTATTTTGTGTGTATTGCACATTTTTGCTCTTAAGAGCAGAGATGTTGCTGGTCAAAATCAAGATATATTGGGGAAAATTCTGAGGGAAGCATGAGTATACATCTTTCATGTAGTTTTACATTAGGGACAGTAGGGCAATCACTGATGAGGTGAGCCTGTGAGTCAACTTGCTTATCTTAGTTTCTGGCTGCGGTCTGGTGGTAGGGGAAAATTAAAGTTATACAGTGAAGGTCACCCAAATATTTGCATACTTTAATGATATGGTGATCTTGTAAAGTGGAACCTTAACATGGTCTTCTTATCACTTAACTTTTCTCAGAGAGAAAATCCATTTCTTAGAGATTTTTCAATTGAAGGAAGTGTCAGATTCTTTCACCATTAATTCTAGGTTATCTAAGTGTTGGGTGTGTGTGGTTTCTTGTTTGCTTAGGAATTTCATTACATGGTTAACCCTCCAGTACTTAGAGGTAATACAGTGAATAAGGGTGAAGCACCACACCCAATAGTAAATCCAGCTGGCTATTGGATAATGATAATGTGGACAAAGGAGCTGTGCCAGTTAGTTAGTCTTCCCAAGAACTATTATCCAAAGTGTTAGGTATTTTTTGTTTTGTTTTTTTGTATAGGATCTATATACAGTATCTTAACATAATGGAACCTTTGTCAATAGTGTGAGTTGTATGCAGCTTTTATCATGCCAAACTGTGCATATTTTGCTACCAGACTCCAGTTAATAACTTTAACAGAGCAACAATGCACTGTGCTGCTTAGAAACTGATTCCATTTAACTTCACAGGAAAGGGTGAACATTTTAGTCCACTACTTATGATGGACCCTGCCCCTCCTCACTTCTAACAACTCTTCATCCACTTACCCTCATAATGGCTCAAGTTCATGCTCCTCCACAGACTTCCTGTGAGATTTTTTGCAAGTCACTTAACCTTTCTGTGCCTGTGTAAAATGAAAATAGTGGTACTTCCCTACCTCACAGGATGATTACATTGTGAGGATAATAACATTAAAAGATGGAGGCACCCAGATTCTGCAGCAACAGGGGCTTTATAAGTAGCTTAGACAGATATATACCTCTACCCCGATATAATGCGACCTGATATAACACTAATTTGGATATAACGCGGTAAAGCAGTGCTCCGGGGCGGGGCGGGCTGCGCACTCTGGCGGATCAAAGCAAGTTCAATATAACGCAGTTTCACCTATAATGCCGTAAGATTTTTTGGCTCCCGAGTACAGCGTTATATCGGGGTAGAGGTGTATGCAAAATTGACAAATACAAGTGTGACTTGGTAACTTCTGCTTCTCTGGTTGGCAGAGACTAAGAATGTTTTGAAGATGACTGGCCTGATTCTTCACTGCCTTGCATCTCTGTATAAGCATTTAAACGTGTGCAATGTGAGTTCAGAACACTACCAAATCAAACGATTTCTTTGCACAGAGATAAATGCTTACATAAGGTGTAAGACAGTGAAGAATCTGGCCTGATACCTTTAGGCTTGGGAGATGGAGTATCAATTTGTGCTATGACAACCGTAATTTTAACATGCCTATTGCCAAACACTTAGTGATTTTTTTTTTTTAAAAGAGGAGAAAATCATGATACCCCAGGCAGTTTAGTTGTTTCTTTTCGGGGTGGGCCCCTTTTGTGATTCTCTATTAGATTCAGGAGAAGCAGTAAGCAGAGGAAGCATTTGATTGCTAAAGTGGATTGAATAATTAATTTATATATTTTCTTTCTATTTTTAGGTATACAGATTCTGGACTCACAGCTTGCAAATTACGACTCGAATGGAAACTCTCTTTCTTCACAAGCAGCTCGCTTTGACCTTCCCAATCAGGCAGGTCACCTGAATCATACTGTTGCTTTGCAGAAATCTATTACTTCTCAGATGTCTGAACTCATTGACCATATAGAAGAACATTTAGATAAGATTGAATTGCACACACAGTTTCCTGAAGACCAAGAGAAAAAACATCCTGAGACCTTAGATTCTTTCCCCAAACAAAAAATAACCAAGTTATTGCCTACAAGGGCTGCTCGAACGTCTCAGCTTAGCACCTCCACTCCCCCACCACCTACCATGCTTCCTACCACTATCAGTAGTGCTGTACTCAAAAACACAACCACTAGCACTCAGATTCCTACCACCACTGCTTTTACCACAACTAACCACATGATCTCAAATTTCAGAACTGCTACAGAATTTGCAAGGCTCAGAACATCTGCCACCACTATCAAGCCAATAGCCACCTCTACAGACAGTACTAGCAGCAACGATTTCTTTTCTTTGTCAGTTGTTGCTTTGCTTAATAAGGATTCCTTGGCTCCTTTTCAAAATATGCACCAGGATAATAGGCAGCGTGATTCAGAAGCCTACCTATTAGATGATGTTCCAAAAAGCAAGCATGCCCCTCAATCTGGTGACAAAAGTGGTCTCGTAGCAGCTTTACTTTTTGGGATAGTGTTTTTGCTATTAGTTATTGCGCTAATAGGCAGAAAAATGTCTCAATCTCTTAAAAGAAGACGTTATAATAGGCTAGACTACTTGATCAATGGAATGTACGCTGATGTGTGATGGGAGGGGAAATTGAAACAATACATTGGTAAGAAGTGCAGTCTTTGTTAGAAGCTGCAGTGCTGAAATCCTTGAGGAGGGTGTGTTCTCTCTTAGCTACAGGTGGGAAAGGGGAAACAGCTGTGGATATGTTCTTCCCCCGCTCCCCTCCCCCAAAAAAGTACACCCTGAATTGTGGAGTAAAATTCATTTAACTGCTAAATCATAAAATAAACAAACACTGTCTAAGTTAAGCAGAGACGTTTTTAGATTTCAAATAAAAAAAATCAAGATCCTAACATCATAATCTGCACCTTGATTAGGTTGTGAACAAAACTTATTTTGTGCATCTGTACAGCCCATCCTTGTATTCTGTTACTATTTTATACAAAAATATCGTTAAACAGTGTGTAAACACTACTGTTTTTACCTGACAGTCCTATTTAATACATTGCCTCATGCCTTAGAGGGACACTTCAAACTTTAAAAAGAAATCATTCATATGCAAAACTTCACGGTGTAAGAGTAAAGGTTGCTACATACATAAACATACCTGATATAAAATCAAGGAAATGAAAGGTTAAGCCACCTAACACCATATGTCTTCTATTCTACCGCTTGCAGGCATGGGTCTTGCCACTGCCACTAACTCTCCATTACGCACCACAAATTTCACTCTGCCTTTTCATAGAGATACTAATCTCTGACTTCTGATTTTTGCCGTAAATGTCAGAGAGAGAACCTGCTTTGTCATTGCAAAGTAAAGCAAGCTGCATTCAAGTTTCTTCAGGACAAAAGCATGACCTAGTGACTTGGCTTCTGCCTGTAAAAGATTCTGCTGCTGTTAACACCCACAGGCACTCTACACATGGACTTCCTTGCCTCTGGGGATGGGGGCAAGGGATGAGCAAGAGTGTGGGAGTGAACAGCCACATTCAGGGGGCATAGCTGTGGGAAGCAACGGTGTGTGGGATGGGATGACAGGGTTTGTAGCATCCAGTTCTTGTTTTTAAGGCTTGTCACAACCATGAAGTCTAAAATCATTTTTTTTTTAAATGAAAGTCTAGATCCTAGAGCATCCATTTGACAGCCAGTATAATCAACAACGGGAAAATGGGATTATCATCAATAAGGGGAAATAATTCATTTTTAAATTCAAAAAGTAACCTATATCCAATCAGTTCTTAGGCTGTGTGTGAAATTTGGTGCTTGAGATGAGGGGTTTTTGGATGGGATTAAACGAGGAGTACAAAAATAATTTCCTTAGAATAAATTTCTTAAAGCATCCATCTTTAATTTTAACTCAAACTAACAGATTTATGAAGAAAAATTAATTGTTCACAGATTAATTTATGCAAAACAAAGAAGTTGAAAACTTGCTCTAAGTGAACTTCATTGTATGGAGGCAAAACCAGCTTCTTCATGATGCTTAAATCTGAAAATGTGTCATTGTAACATTAGGTAACACCTTAGATCTGTGGTTTTCAAACTTTTTTTCTGGCAACCCAGTTGAAGAAAATTGTTGATGCCCGCGACCCAACAGAGCTGGGGATGAGGAGTTTGAGGTGTGGGAGGGGGCTCAGGGCTGGGATAGGGGGTTGGTGTGCGGCGGGAGGGTCAGAGCTCTGGGATGGGGCTGAGGATGAGGGGTTTGAGGTGCAGGAGGGGGCTCCAGGTTTCGGGGTGGCTCAGGGCTGGGGCAGGGGGATTGGGGCACAGGGTTGGGGCGTGGGCTTACCTCCGGCGGCTCCCGGTCAGCAGCACAGCCGGAGTGCAGAAGCAGCCTTCCTGCCTGTCCTGGCACCGCCCCAGAAGCAGCCAACAGCAGGAGGTGTGCAAGTGGCTCTCGCCCGCAGGCACCCCCCAGCACCTATTGGCGGTTTCCGGCCAATGGGAGTGCGCAGCTGGTGCTCGGAGTGGGGGCAGTGTGCAGAGCCCCGTCGCCTCCCTGCCTAGGAGCCGGACCTGCTGCTGGCCGCTTCCGGAGCGCAGCACGGTATCAGAACCGGTAGAGACTACTAGTTTTTCCTGGCTGGCCGCCAGGGTCCCTGGCTGCTGAGCAAGGTGACCCAGTGCCTTGCATTTGTTGCGGCCTGAAGTTTGAAAACCACTGCCTTAGATTATGATAAATGAAAAATATTAGAGAGAGAACAGCATTTCCATTTTATCAGCTCACTTTGTGTAGTTGACAACACTATGTCTGCAATCAGTTTATTTTTTCCCCACTGTTTATATGAGACTCTTAGCAAGTAATATGGGGGGAAAACATATTTGGAAAATGTGTTTGTGAAATAATAAATATAGTCAGAGGGACATGGGAGCAGCAGTAGTGCCTGAAACTACTTCTAACTTTCTTCTTAAGATGGCTGACTAGATTTGAAGTTGACTATGTTCCTTTTAAAAGGACAGTCAGTATTTGAAGTCTTGAATATGGTCTGGGTCAACAGACCTTGTTAATACATCATATGTGTTTAATAATAATCCCTATTTGCATATCTCTTAGTGACAGACAATTTACTCATACACATGCTGTGGAAAGAGCTTAGCTTTTACTGTCTGGGCCAGAAGGAGGCTCCCTTTTAGCTCACTTGCTGGAGCGGCTGTCTAAAGCCATGAAGTTCCCAGTGTGAGGCCTGGTCCACCCTAACCCCCCATTTCGAACTAAGATGCGCAACTTAAGCTATGGGAATAACGTAGCTGAAGTTGAAGTACCTTAGTTCGAACTTACCGCGGGTCCAGACGCGGCAGGCAGGCTCCCCCGTCGATGCTGCGTACTCCTCTCGCGGAGCAGGAGTACCGGCGTCGACGGCGAGCACTTCCGGGATCGATTGGGATCGATTTATCGTGTTTAGACAAGACGCGATAAATCGAACCCAGAAGATCGATTGCTTACCGCTGGACCCGGAGGTAAGTATAGACGTACCCTGAGTCTCTATTGTAGTAAGGAGATTGTTGGAGACAGGTGGGGAGGGGGTGTTAATTGGGATAGTCTTCTCTTTGGAGGAAGCTGATAGTTGGCAGACACAGTATGCGTTGGGCTCTGGCTCTGGCCCAAGTGGTAGGTTAATGTAACTAAAAATACAATCTTAAAACATTGCATCTAAATGAGATAGTAAACAGACATTTGACATTTTAACAGTAGACGCATGGAAATAAGCTGCATGTTGGCAGTGACCAATATGGTAAGGAAACAGAGTTGAGATTTGAGCGTCCACAAGAAGTGGAACAAGTTATTTTAAAAATATTCTTAGTTTCTAAAAACTGCTTGCAGTCTACCAGATTCATTTTGTTCCAGGTACAAAAGAGAAGCCATTGCATAACTTGTATGGATCATTCTTCTATTTCTGAAGTATTTTGAAGCTCCACTTGAACACTAGAGGGCAACATCAGTTTATTAAATAGTTTAATCAACTGAAAAATGTTAATACTTCAAGGGTGAGAGAGGATTTGCTTTAACCACATTTTAATTGCATAAATAACTTATTCATTCTTCTTAGTAATATGCATTTTTCAGACTTAAACTTAATTTATTTTCCTGGACATCAGAAAGAGTAAATGTGTGAGGCAAAGCAGCTGTAAAAAAAAAAAAATCCATTATATATGTGCTTTTTCATAATAGGTTTCTATGGACTACTTTCTTTTTGCACTGCATGCTCATAAAATGTTACATGTGCCCCCCCCCCCACTTCTTGTTATGAAATTGCCAACCTGTAACACACTTCAACAGATGGTTCAAGGAATGAACAGATCAGGTAGCAGTAAAAGTCGGTGAGAAAATAAGTTGGGTTTGTCTACAATACATTAATTTTAATATAGGAAAACAATACCACAGCCATATGAAAAGTTATCAGCCAATACGACATGATATTCTGTGTACTTCTGTGACTCTTTAGCACATCTCAGGTTATGTTGCAGCACAAAGTCAAAAACTGATTGGCTTGAATCACATGAGAAATGTAGTAATTACCCTAGTCTCTAGGAGTGTTTCATATTATTATTATTTTTTATTATGCAGAACATAAATAAGATGTGTTAAAAAAATCATCAAGTTATATAGACTGGCACACATAGATGTTGTAGGGTGCCATATAAAAAGGCAAATAGAAAACCTAGTTGTGTGATAACCAATGCAAACAATCACAAAAAGAAAATAGAAGAACAGGAGGACTTGTGGCACCTTAGAGACTAACAAATTTATTAGAGTATAAGCTTTCGTGGACTACAGCCCACTTCTTCAGATGCATATATAAAAAGTGGGGTGTAGTCCACGAAAGCTTATGCTCTAATAAATTTGTTAGTCTCTAAGGTGCCACAAGTCCTCCTGTTCTTCTTTTTGCGGATACAGACTAACATGGCTGCTACTCTGAAACCTTTCAAAAAGAAAATGACACTCCAGAAGTCCAGGTCTGTTTGGGGGCAGGGAACCTACACTTCAAACTATTGGGAGTTCAATACTGTATGTTTTCATAGGCTAGCAATTCAAGTGCTCATAATTTCAATATGACCTTGTGCCAAGTATGAAACCTTGGTACTTTAGCAATATTGCTGAGTAATAAGAAACTTCCAATCACCAACTAAAAAAGAGTGTAGAATGACATGGAAAGGCAATCAGAAAACTCTCAGTTCACTTCCTTTTTCTGTAATCCATAATTTTGAGCTTGGTGCAAATACTAGATGTCAGTGATGTAAAGGATTCCCCCCCCCCCCAACCAGAAAGAATTATTGATGGTACAGTATTAACACATCCGCGTTCCTGACATTGGTGGTATCTCTTAGAGCATGGAATACAGGCCCTTCAAGCCACTTCTGTGACCATGACACTGCCAGGTTCGTGGATACTTTCTGGTTACTCTTCCTCGCATAAGCATAATTTTTCTCATCTCCCAGTTTGTAGCCAGTTGCTCTGGGAAAACCAGCACTTCTCGTCTCCCCGAAGGTCTGCACCTACCTTGAAAGGCAACTATACGCAAAAACAACAAGGAGTCTGGTGGCACCTTAAAGACTAACAGATTTATTTGGGCATAAGCTTTCGTGGGTAAAAACCTCACTTCTTCGGATGCAACCTACGAAAGCTTATGCCCAAATAAATCTGTTAGTCTTTAAGGTGCCACCAGACTCCTTGTTGTTTTTGTAGATACAGACTAACACGGCTACCCCCTGATACTTAACTATATGCAAGTTCATCTGTGTTGCATGCCCCTTGTGGTGCTGGTCTCCCACTATATTGTCTTCTGTCTACATTCTTGGAGCATGCCTGAAGTTGTTCTTTCTAGACGCCTCCTTTTTGGCCTTCAGGAAG